TTCATGCCGAGCAATTTGGTCAGCTGTTGGCTTGTCTCGACTTTTTGGCACTATGGCCTTCTGCTGCGCTTCGCCTGGCGCCTCCTGCTCCTCGGCAAAGATTTTTGTTGTTTTTTTTCGCAGACCTTTTGACAGTGGGTTCCTAGGAACCTTTAGTGTGGTGGCCAACCGCAGCGAGAAAAGTGGCCGCCGCACGCGCCCTGAACGTTCTTCCTACTAGCGACGAGGTCTCCATACCCAGCGAACAGTTGCGGTCCCTCTGCTGCGCCGCTTGCCGCATTCCCCCTCCTGCTTCCCCGCGGTGAGCTCGACCCACTGGGTGACTGCCGTTCGGCCTGTGCCACCTCGGGAGTCCTGGCAGCCCCTCACGCATGCCGTTGCGTGCGTATGTCGCGAGGCCGGCGCCCGAATCGCCACGTCCGGCTTGCAGACATGAAGCTCGATGTGCCCGCGTTGAGGTCGTCGCGAATGGTCTGCCTTCGCGGCATAGTTCCCAGCTGGCCCTCGACGCCAGCCCCGTTTCTCCTCTCGCAGGGCGAGGCGAGCCCTACCCCCGCGCAAACATCCAGCCGGGGGCGGCCGTCCTTGCCCAAGAACTGCATGAGGTCTTGGCCGACTCCCGGAGCGCCCACCAGTACTCGCTCGGTAGCATGATGCAGACTTATTTGGGACTTCCCTTGCACTCGTAACAAAGGGCAAAACAAGAACCTGCACGACACATTCATGTCCATGCCGGCAAGGCGTACATTTCGAGTTAAGGCGAGCGACATGGGGACCCAGGTTCGCGCCACACACAGGCGGCGTTTATTCTTGCACGAGCTCATCACAAGTGGGGGAGGCTCCGCAATGCTTGCAAGTCGTCGCGAACGGAGGCAGGTCGAAGAATGCTGCATTTCAATGTCCGAGTCAGAAAGTACCAGCTCGACAACTGTGGCTGTATGCGACAAGAACTGAACGCTAAAACCCATGCTGTGGCCAGCTCAAACATATCATGAACACAACGACATGATGCGCACAGAGGTTGGGGACCAGCCGGGAAGGCTGTCGCAGGCAAGTCCATATGCCACAGCATGTGTGTCATGCGTATGGAGTATGTCACTATTCCCAGTGACCTCTTCCGAGTGATGTTTTTGCGTTGCATTCGCTTGCCACTTGCCACTCCTGCTGGCGCCCCACAGTTGCAGCTGCTGGGGGCCATCACCGTGCCGCTTGCGCGATGTCTGGGGCCCTTGCTGCGGGCGCCATCCCACTTGCACGCGCTCTTGCGATAGTTTGCCGCGAAGCTGGGGCACGGGTTGCACTCAATGTGTTTCTCGCCGACATGAACCGCATGAACCTTGATGTTCCTTCCCTGTGACGAGGAACCCCGGACGGCTCCCACACACGCGCTGGCGTGGTGCTTGCGAATGCCGCCAGGCGCAGGCGCTTGGTATGGAAGTTGGGGGCTGCCGGCAAATTCGTTCGAGTGTTTTGCACATGCGCGCGCGCCGCGAGCGTGCCCGCCATCCTGCGGCCCGCCGCCCAAGCCGCGAGGCAACTGCATTGGAGCGGCACGCCTGCCGTCGCTGCCCAACGAACGCTCGCCGGCTCTATGCCGCACCTTCCTCGTGCATCCTTTCGCCAACGAATGCAGTGGGGGGTGGAACCCACTTTGCAAAAGCATTTCGCTGACGTGCACCGGCACGAAGCGCCCCAGCGCAATCGCATGCGTGACCGTGCTGCGTTAAGAGCTTGTAGGCGGTGTAAGGCCTTAGAGGCCTAGGGCTTCCCCCCTAAACGAGGCGGCTGAGATGGTGGAGGAAGCGGCCACAAGGAGAGCCGCCGCAAAGGCAACGCCGAAGGTGTTACCCCAAGCCCAAACCGCCACACAAAGTTGTTGGCCAGGTCACGGTGCCGGTCACGAATGACAGGGAGGGTGCCCGCCCATGAGGCTCAATAAGCTGCTTGTCGCAACCGGATTGCCGATCGCAACCCAAGGCGTGCCAACTGCACTGGTCCAAGTTCCTCCACACGCAGCATCTGTTGTACGCAAGTGGCGACCGCCTCATCATGTCTGGCCGACGGCGGGACCACCCCGAGCGAATAATTGGCCCGCCCCCCCGCGGAGTAAAACAGGATCAGCTATGCTGTCCGCAAATCGGGCACATCCGGGATGGGAGGCTGTCCTGGTCATGGGCTTGGCTTGCAGGAAGGCCTCCACAAAACCTGGGTGCCCGATAGGTGTACCTAACACACGGACCAGCTATGTGTGTCCAAGCGACATGGTCATCTACGGAGGATCTGGGCTCTAGTCCACAACGCATCGGACAGGACATCGTAAATCGAGCGGGTTCGTGCTGGTTGGGAGATGCAGTAGATGTCATCCAAAAAGCGAGCGGGAGCTCATGAGCTGGAAAGATTGCGACACAGTTAGCAGGGTTCCATGAAGCGCCAAATTGAACATCCCAAGCATCACGGGTCCCCCTGTTCCCCGCCCTCAGCTTGGAGCACCTCGTGGTCACTGCCAGCGTCATCATACCACCGTCGAAATGACGCATATACGGTAAGTCACACCCGCCAGCATTGCTTGTCGTGATATGTGACCATATGCACCAACACCATCCACCGACAACAACGTCTTGGTAGGACCATCCTCTAACAACACAAAAAGAACGCGAGCGGCTGCCTCAGCATCGTCCCTTGTTGAGAGGGCGTACTGGAAGGGGGCTGTGGCGGCATGGAACGCGGGCGCCAGCTCGACAGCAATGGCTTTGGAGACGAGCCGCCGGAACACATCGCTGATGACCAAACCGCGCACCCGGCCCGCCTACTTCCGCAGTGCCACCCGACGCCCCGTCCGGATGCCAGCGGCTACCCGAAAGGTACCCGGGCCTGAGCCAATTTGTTGGCCGCCTCCGTGGTCAATGCCACGCATTGCTCATCATCCAAGAGCAGCCGGTGGTGCTCCATGGTTGCCCCGACGGCCCTGCTGCGTGTCTCCAAGCAAAGCGCAACAAGCTTGCAACGTGCTCAAGCACCATGCCTGGCGACGCGGTCGGCATTCGGCTGCGTCTGGCCCGCGCGCATGACTGCGGGACACCATGTAGTGTCGACGGCCGCTTGGAGATTCTTCTGCTTGGCTAGCTGGTGATTGCGTGGCGGTCTCGAAACGCTCGCCGCTGGGGCACGGGAGCCCTGGCTGTCGTGCGCGACTTCGTTCGGTTGTCTGCAGTTTGCTCTGCGGTTCCGGGCTCATCGTTCGCGGCCTTGGGGTCGACGTCGATTTCGAAAAGTCTAAGCAGCGTAGTTTGCTTGTGACACGAAGATCCCCTCTGACTTGGTCTCGACGTGGGAACCAATGAAGTCAAAGGTGTCGTTTTCCCATTCCTCCACAGGGAAACACTCGGAGAGCTGGCGCTGGATCAGGTCACGAACCTTCCTGTCGCAGACGAGGGGGATGTCATCGACGTGGACCACGGCGTAACAGCTCGGTGCCTCCCCAGTCTTGTTGTCCTCGTTGTCGACCTCGATGAGCTGGAAAACACAGGGATCCAAAGGAGACGCATAGAACTTCGCCCTCTTGTCATCGCCGAGCTTAATGACCATCTCCTGTGCGTCCTTCTTGAACTTTTTCCCCCACTTGCGAGGGCTGTCAATCAGTCCAAAGATCCCTTTCTCGACCTTGATCAACTGTTCGGGGTGGAGCCCCGGGAGCCCATGTTTGGGCTGTCTCAGGTAAAGCTCCCTGTCGAGCCTTTCCCTGTTGAGGAACGCCGCAGTGACGTCCCCTGCTGACACTCCCCATCCGGCATCCTGTCTGGACGCCGCGATCTGCAAGAGTGCCATGACGGCTGCACGGGATACCGTAGGAGAGTCGGTGCGTAGGGCTCCGGACACTATGTCCGGGTCTGTCTGGCCTGACACCACTAGTCGTGACTTAGGTCGCTACTCCACCTCGGGGTTCAACCGCCTCTTCGCCAAATTCTTGTCTCGTTTGGACTCAGGAATTATCGACCATGGGATTTCTTTCTCCAGTTGCTTCTCCCTACCACGCTTTGTAGTGGCCCGTTTGAGCATCATAGCCTCGTGGTGAGTGTCCTCTCTCGGGGGAGGATCGGCTTGGGGCCTCTTGGTGGAATACCTTCTCCGCACATTTTCACGTGGTAGTTCTCCCTCGGCGGCTCGACGTAGAGGAGGAGGTCGGGTTTCCTCATCGTCTCCGTTCTCCAGGTCGATGTCGTCGAGCTCCATCGGTGCTTCCGCATCGTCGACAAAGGAGGGTGCGTATTCCTCCATGTCGTCTCCCTCACTTCCGCAGCGAAGGCATTCCCCTCGGTTGCGCCTGAAGGCAATAGCAAAGCAAATCCCGGCTGGAGGTGGCACACTCCGACCGGTGGTCGCCAATTGGGTCGACCCCCGCACGACAGCTGCAATTGCGCGGCGTGAGCAGGAGGGACAGCCGCAGCCGTCGCCGTGGCAGCACAAGAATTACTGGGTATGGAGATGTCGTCGTTTGTAGGAAGGACAGTGAGAACACGGTCGGCGAAAGGCTCGGCTTGCCAAAACAGGAGTGAGGCTGAGCAAGCTCGGTGCGTAGTGTCAATTCTTTCCGGTTTCTGCACTTTGCACGAAAAAAGATTCGGAACGGTCTCCTGGCGTGCGACCACATCTCCCGACAGAGCATGCTGTCAACCGTGGCTTTCCGACCCACGCTGGCCGGCCTCCTCCCCCATGCTGCACTTTTCTACGGCTCGCCGAGCACATACATTTTTTACGACGAGGAAGGCCTAGCGCAGGAAGTGCAGCAAGGCGAACGAGGAGAGCAAGGCGACTCGTTAATGCCGTTAGTCGAGGCCAGTAGAACTCGCCTTAACCCGTCGAAAATTCTCCGTGCGTTCTTCGACGCCATCTACGTCACGGGACCCCCGAACACACAGCCGGCCAGTTCGCTGTGCGGGAAGCCCTCGCGAGACATAACACGTGCGTGGAACGGCGCGGGTGAAGAACCCCCATACTCTTTGATGAGCTTCCCCGCAGGACCGGAACTGGGCCCTCCCACTCGCCCAGCGACCGCAGGAGCAAGACCGGATCCCGCGGGTGTCCGATCTGCAGCGCGCGTGGCTACGGCTGCTGCTGCTCAGCTCTGGGCTGCCGGCCGACCCCGCAGACTTCGCTGCCCCGCCATTCGGCGCTGCCTGGCAACTTTGCTGGCGGGCCGCGATGGCGACATGCCGCTGCCAGACACCAATTACCGCCGCGCCCGACTCGCACTGAGCATGGGACGCTTGGGGCTTGGATCTGCGACTACGTCACGCGGTCTCAGCCGGGTCTCCTCGCCACCCTCCTCCGGCGACCGGCACCCCCGCCACCCTCCCGCACGCGAGCAGCAGAGCAGCCTGCCTGCTTCCTGCGCTCAGAAGGCCTCTCAGTTTTTTGTGCTGGGCAAGACTGCTGGAATTAGATGCTGCGGCACCTGCTGGCGCGATTACAGGGCGACGAGGATGGGAGACATGGAACCTGTGGACCGGCCCAGGCGACCTTGTGGTCACGTTATGACTACTTCGTTGGCAGTATGTCTTGATAGAATAGCACCGCTGTGTTACATTTTTTATTTGCGGAATATACAGCAGGAGCTCCCAAGACATTTGGAGCATAGGACAGCTTAGCCAGGACAGTGATCCGGATCTTTTGGCGTCCTATGTCAACTTGAAGTCGCTGGTGCCGGGCGTCGCTGAAGCGATTGACGAGGCAGGTCATGGTGGGTGCGTTGCAAAAACAGTTCGCTGAACAAACACGTTGGATGTTGCAGGATTCAGAAGTGCCACGCCTACCACCGGCTTGCGCGCAAGGTGGTTTGATTGTTGAAAGAACTTGTCCTTCCGGTGCGATAGCTGTATCTTTTGACGATGACGGTTCTGGCCTCAGCCAGGCTTCTTGTCGAATGGCCTTACGTATTTCGTTATGCAGAGTCTTGGCACCGCATTTCCTGTCAGTTGAAAGAAAACGATTGCATGTATGAAACCTGGCGAAGGAACCATGAACCCAAGTCACGCGCGGAGCTCTTCTTGGTTGTCGGTTTCGGGTCGTTGGTGGAAGATGACGAGGCAGCGGCAACTTGCAGATGTTCCGAAAGCATGGTCGCTCCAGGGCTCGTTGTTTTGTTTGCATCGATGGGATTTCACGGGCTTTCGTTGTGCACCTGGAGAGACCGCCGACACAGAAAACATTTCAGCCTTCTTTGATGTTACATTGTTACATGCAGAGTGTTGGCGCGCTGGCTGAAACACAAGTCGCTTGTTGACATTTGATGCGGTTGTGTAGGCTTATGGAAGTCATCATCGCCAGGAGCGTGGCATCGCCCACATCATCGAGCACTTGGGGTGTTTGTCCCAACCTTCCAGATATTTGAAGAATGTTGGGTTCGAAGCGGATGTCCATTAAGTGTTTTCGCGCAGGTTTTCCGCCACCAAAGCATACGAAAATCATGCCATCGTGAAGTTCTTGGAATCCATTGGGGCACCCTTTGGTGCATGTCAGATGCGTGATTCAATTTGATTGTGCGTTACGTTGGTACCGTTCTAACATGGCCAGAAGATTTATTTCATTTTGCTCAGGAATGCATACACCAGTTTTGACCGGACGGTGTGCCTTGTTGTGAAGCTGTTGAGCATGCATGCCAACCAGAGGAAGAAACCGTTGGGTGTCTCAATTTCGCCAAGGTACACGCTTCACGTGCCCACCGACAAAGACGGTATACTGGAAGAGTCCCTGAAGCTCGACACGCACCTCGTGTATGCACACTGTTGCTGTTGCTGTCCCCCAACCCAGCCGGGGCTTAGACCCACTGAATGCATAATGGTGATCGTGCCCTTGCCCTTGCTGAGAAGCGAGGTTTAGGGCCCCCAGTCCTCTCGGATCGGTGCTCGTTCTCTAGTGGCCGGTTTTGACACAGGGGGGTGCTGCTGCAAAACCAAGGGCTCCGTCTGCGTACGTTTTTTGATGCTTCATACAGTTTTGCTCTCGATGCGCTTGTCTTTCTGTGTTCATTTCATGAATTTGTGACTGCAAGGGTGCTTAAGGCGTACTGTTCTGGCGTGCTACGCCGTGGCGATTTGTATTTGCTACGATGTCAGCACTTTACCCCGTGTTTTTAGTGCTCTTATTGATTATAACTACGTTTACACCGCCACGACATACTGTTGGACTCTAGACAGACTTATGTAATTGTCGACGAACGGTATGCCGGGTGACAAATCCTAGGACCCATCCGGTGCGTAGGGACTTACTTGCCTACCTACCAACTTACTTATTTATTTACGTACTACGACCACTATTACTACTACTACTACTACTACTACTACTACTTGTGGAGCGCAGCAAACGGACTTGCAAAAAGCAATCGCGCTGCTGCA